GACCCATTTGGTTTATAATATCTGTCAGTTTCATTGTTTTTCTTTTTTAGTTTTTGTTTTGATGACTTGTCCATTGGTGAGAGTGGAGTGTTGAAGTCCCTCACTATTATTGTGTGTGGTTCAACATGTAATTTGAGCTTTAGTAAAGTTTCTTTTACAAATGTAGATACCCTTGCATTTGGGGGATGGTGTTCAAAATTGAGACTTCATCTTGGTGGATTTTTTCTTTGATGAGTAAAAAGTGTTCTTCCCCATTCTCTTTTGATTACTTTTGGTTGAAACTCTATTTTAGGTATTAGAATGGCTAATCCAGCTTGTTTCTTGTGTCCATTTGCTTGGAAAACCCTTTTTCAGCCCTTTACCCTGAGGTAGCATCTGTCTTTGTTGCTGAAGTGTATGCAGCAGAATGATGACTTCTGTTTACATTTTCAGTCTGTTAGCCTGTGTCTTTTTATTGGGAAATTGAGTCCATTAATATTGAGAAATATTAAAGACAGATGACTGTTAGTTCCTGCCTTTTTTTTTTTTTTTTTTTTTTTGCTGGAGGTGGTATTATGTATGTATGATTCTCTTCTTTTGGGTTTGTTGTGCGATGTTTAATTTCTTGTGTTTCCTTGGGTGTGGTTAATGTTCTTGTGTTGGAATTTTCTTTCCAGTATTCTCTGTAGGGCTGCCTTAGTAGAAAGATATTGTGCAAATTTGGTTTTGTCATGGAATATTTTGGTTTCTCCATCTATGGTGATTGAAACTTTTGCTGGGTATATTAATCTTGGCTGGCATCTGTGAAACTTTTGCTGGGTATATTAATCTTGGCTGGCATCTGTGAAACTTTTTTTTGCTGGGTATATTAATCTTGGCTGACATCTGTGGTATGTGGTCTCTTAGGGACTGCATGACATCTGTCCAGGATCTTCCGGCTTTTAGAGTCTCTAAGAAGTCAAGTGTAATTCTAATAGGTCTGCTTTTATATATTTGTATTTATATTATATTTTATTACTTGTAATATTCTTTCTTTGTTCTGTACATTTAGCATTTTGATTATTATGTGGCAGGAAATTTTTCTTTCCTGATCTAATATATTTGGTGTTCTGTAAGCTTATCTAACATTTATGGCCATCTCTTTCTTTAGATTAAGAAAGTTTCCTTCTGTGATTTTGTTGAAGATACTTTCTGGTCATTCAAACTTGGAATCTTTACCATCTCTTATGCCTGTTATTCTTAGGTTTTGGTCTTTTAATAGTGTCCCAAGTTTTCTGGAGTTAGAAGCTTTTTACATTTGGCATTTTCTTTGACTGATGTATCAATTTCTTCTATGGTATCTCTATGCCCGAGAGTCTCTCTTCCATCTCTTGTATTTCTGTTGGTGATGGTTATGTCTATAGTTCCTCTTCCCTTTCCTAGGTTTCTCATCTCCAGGGTGCCATCATTTGTATTTTCTTTATTGCTTCTATTTCCATTTTTAGGTCTTGGACTGTTTTATTCATTTCCTTCAGTTGTTTGATTGCATTTTCCTGTATTTCTTTAAGGGATTTATTTGTGTCCTCTTTAAAGGCTTCTACCTGTTTGATTGTGTTTTCCTTTGTTCCTTTAAGGGATTTATTTGTATATTCTTTAAAGGCCTGTATCATCTTTGTGAGATGACATTTAAGGTCACAGTCTTGCTCTTCAGATGTGTTGTGATATCCAGGGCTTGCTGTAGGAGAGCTGGGTTCTGATTGTGCCATATATTATTGGCTTCTGTTGATTATGTTCTTGTACTTGCCTTTCACTATCTGGCTATTTCTGGTGTTGGCTGGCCTGGTGGTCCCTGGGACCACCTTTGGATAAGCCTCTGGGACTGGTTGTCCCGGATAGCTGCAGGCCTAGCACATTTTTTTGTTGCAGGTGGAGGTGTGGACTGGAAGGATTTAATTTTTTATCACCTGAATAATATTGAATTGTGTAAACACATCACATTTTCATTATTCATTCATGAGTTATTTGACATGTAGGCTATTTCTAGTTTCTGGCTATTATCAATACAGCAGCAATGAACAGGGATGAGCAACTATCTCTGTAGAAGATACAGAGTCCTGTGCATATATGTTCAAGAATGGCATTACTGGATATTGGAATAGAGTGATTCTCAGCTTCCTGAAAAAACTCCATGCTAATTTACATGGTGGCTGTATGAGTTTGGATGCATACCAGCAATGAATAAGTATTCCCATTTCCCCATATCCTTGCTCTAACTGTGGCAAGATGAAATCATAAAATGGTTTTAATTTGTATTGCTCTGGTGGCTAAGGATGTTTCTTTTAGTGGTTTTAAGCTATTTGCATTTCATTTTATGAGACCACCTTGCTCAGTTCTGTATCTTATTTATAATTGAGTTATTTGCTTTCTTGATGTTCAGGATTGTTTTTTTTATTGTTGTTATTGTTTGCTTTTTAGTTCTTTATATATCCTATACACTTACCCTCTGTTAGATGTATAACGGGCAAATATATTTTTCCATTTTGTAGGCTGCTGCAATTTAAACTGACCTACTACCTGTAGTGAGATAAACGCTGTAATTAAATGTCTCCCAACCAAGAAAGGTGCAGGGCAGATGAATTCAATGAAAAATTCTACTATATTTTCTTTTAAAAAAAAAACCTGACAGTTTTTAAAATTTTTATTTATTTATTTTATGTATATGAGTACACTGTTGCTCTCTTCAGTCACACCAGAAGAGGGCATTGGATCTCATTACAGATGGTTGTGAGCTACCATGTGGTTGCTGGGAATTGAACTTAGGAACTCTGGAAGAGCAGTCAATGCTCTTAACCATAGAGCCATCTCTCCAGCCCTCTACTATACTTTCAAAGGGAAACTAACAGTGATACTCCCCAAATTATTCTACAAAATTGAAACTGAAGGAACATTTCCTATTTTTTTTTGTGTGAAGCTATTATCTCCCTGTACCCAAACTGCACAAAAATCCAATTTAAAAATTCCAGATCAACATCCTTTATGAATACAGATGCAAATTTTTTCAATAAGGTTTTGCAAGCCAAATTAATAAAACTCATCAAATAGATTGTTCACCATGGTAGAGTTGGCTTCATCCCAGAGATGGTTTACAGATATGTAAACCAACAGATGCATTCCAACACATAAACATCCCGAAAGACAAAAGCCACATGATTATTAGGTGCAGAAAATGAGTTTGATACAATTCGAAAGACTCAATGATAAAGCTCTGGAGAGAGTAGAACGTGAAGGGACATACCTCAACATGATAAAAGCAACTTACCACAAGCCCACAGTCAACATCATCCTAAACAGCTAGAAACTCAAAGCATTTCCACTAAAATCAGGCATAAGCCAGGCATGGTGGCACATACTTTTCATCCCAGCACTTGGGGTATTGGGGACAGAGGCAGGCAGATCTCTGAGTTCAAGGCCAGCCTGGTCTTCAAAGTGAGTTCCAGGACAGCAAGGCTGCATACAGAAACACTGTCTTGAAAAATCCAAACCAAAGCCAAATCCCGTAATTTGAGTGTGGATGACGCTTTCCCCCTTGTATTGAAGGTCAACCTTATGGTAGAGGAAGTAGTGGAAGACATGATGAGCTCCCAGAGAGAAATGTTCAGTGTCCCTGGCTCATTACTAGGGAATGACCTGTAAGGAGACAGTTGTCTGAGTCCAGTCCTCTAAAGGGCAACTTCTTCATCTTGCTGGTAGGGTCAAACTGAGTTCATATTCCCAGGCTCAGGAACTAAATCCGATTCTGTGGTTTCAGATGTTTCTTGCTTGTCTGATAACCAGTAAATAATATTAAAAAAAAGAAGTTACCTGTTAAGGAAACTAAGGTACACACCTTATAAACGTCATGACCTAATTGACTGCCTGCAGCTTACCCACCCCTTTGTGCCCTTACCATTTTGAGTTACAGGCCAGATGTCCAGAATGGGGCCTGACCACCAAAGCTCTGACTCATGGACCTTGAAACCGGGTGACCCAGATAAGGCCCAATCACCAATGTTCACTCCAGAACCACAATGGAAACTCCTTTGTTCAATCCATTGTGTCCAAATATGAGTTCCATATGCTACAGCCCAGTCTGCTTCCACCTTGACTTATGGTTTCATCCTTTAAATATGTTATACTATTTCCCTTCAGGGATGCAGTTCAGATCTTGAGCTGGCCACCTCCCTGTGTGCTCAGAGAATAAAGCTTTCATTTTAAGTAGCTGTCTTTGAAGTGAGTTTTCTCAGCTTCTCCTCGAATCCAACAGATCCACTGTGGTACTCTTGGTTCAAAATCAGTGTGATCTGGAAGATTGGGAAATTTTACATTTCTGAATGTAGAATTTCCTTGGGACCTTGGGCAAAGAAAGCTTTCTGTCTAAAGTTTAAAGGTTGCTTTTCATACCTGTTGAATCCTTTATGGAATACTTCTGCAGTGTAATTCCATTTTTTTTACAGACATTGTATAATTTAATTCCTTGTTGATATGTTTTAATTTTCTTGGCAGAAAATGGATAGATTGAAACACAAGATTTGAGAAAGCCTTAGCTTACCCTTCCCAGATCTCGAGCTTGCATGTCAGGTCCTCCTTTCTGTTCCTGTGCCTCCAGATTGACATAAGGACTCCATCTAAGGTGATGTATTGAGTTTTTTCCTTGAGGTATTGAGTCTAGAGGCTCCACTGTAAAGCTGTAGCACTATTTCTTTCAGGAATAGGGTGCGGAGTAGGAAGGGCCCACTGAATACACAAGGCAGCAAGCACATGTACTAAAAATTCTGCTGAATGTTTCCTTAAATGCTACAAAACTTCAGGTTGTGCCAGGTTTGTTAGAGCGAAGATCAAGCTAAAAGGGTCGTGAGTGACAGCTACTGGTTCGCAGAAAGGCTAATTTCTCTTTAATTCCGCTCATAGGAGGCAGGAGAGTTATTCGCCAATCAACGGCGCTGTTATTCCCCTGTCCAATAAGAAGCGCAGGTAATCGAAGGGTTCCGCTATTGCTGCCATTTTGAAGCCTGTGCAGCTGCGGGAAGAGTCGTGGAAACTCTGCCTCGGTTACTGTCCCTTCTTCCGATTTCAGGTTCTTTGGAGAGGACACAGGATGCATCAGAAGCAGAGGATGGTGAGTGTGTCGCGGGCTTCTGGATTCGAGGGTGGCAGATTTGTGACACTGCCAGGAGACCAGCATCCAGTTCTGTCCCTTCTCTGTGAAACGGCTTCATGCCAGTCCTTTCAATGTGGGTCCGTGCCTCGAACTTGCCCCTCTGCAGAAATTGTAACGCTGGCAGGTAGGTGATGCTGAACCCCAGAGTGCATTTTGAATGACAGTGAGTGTGTGAGCGCTGTTGCCGGTCTTTCTGCCCCTGCACTTTCGTTTGTCATGCTTTAGTTTTCCTCTGTGATCACGGTGTGTTTTTCTTTTTTTCTGCGGTTGGGGTCCGAAAAAACAAAATAACACAAGCAGGCACAAGAGTCCGGCAAAGCAAGATCCTTATTTTAACTAAGCAGCAAAAGCTGACCGGTCAGGGACAATAGCATAGACTGCGTCCCTGAAGGAAAATTGCGCAGCACGTTTAAAGGATGAGAGCACAGAAGGGGAGTGGGGTGGGCTTTAGCATTGTCCAATCGTCTTTTGACCCAAGGGGTTGGGCAAGGGAGTCGCCAATGTGATCTTGAGCCGACTCCCTTGGCCTGTCACCGGAAAGGGGTAAGGTAAACATTGGTGAGGAGATCTCCCCGGGGCACCTGGTTTTAAGGTCTTTTTCTCAGAATCTTGGTGGTCAGGCTCCATCCTGAACATTTGGTGTGTAACTCAAAATGATGAGGGAACAAAGGAGCTGGTTCCTAGGCTTGGGAAGGTGAACTCAGTTTGTTTGATCCTGTCAGCAAGATAAAGAAGTTGTCCTTGAGATGCCTGAATTCAGACAACTTTCTCCCAACAATTTGGCCAATTGAACTCTAGGCTTTATTTATGTCAAGCAAAGGCTCCTTGTTGTGTAGAGGGCATTTTTCTCCTCTGGAAATCTATTTCAACCTCTCTTTTGAGCTCTCCTCTTTTTAATATAATGCAGGTCAAAATAGTTAAAAATAGAAATATGGAAAAATGGGGGGAAAGTCTGAGGGAAGGGGATTCATGTAACTGTAATTTCGTTTTGCTCTGGTGGGCTTCTCCAAACAGAAAGAAGTAGGAGAGTTCATCAATCAGTATTTAATTGGAATACAGTTCTTGAAATATTAAATCTTCAGCTTTTTTGCCTTCAACTACTTGTTCTATGTAGATAGTAATTTCTGACCATCGAGAAAGTCTGCGAAGTCTGGAGACCAGGCTGGCGTCAAAATTATAGAGATCTTCCCGCCTCTGCTTCCCAAGTGCTGGGATTAAAGGCATGAGCCACCACTGCCTGGCTTTCTTTTGTGTGTGTGTGTGTGTGTGTGTGTGAATGGAACTTAGGTTTTCTTCAGTGGCTAGCAGGTATTGTGAGAACTCAGCCTAGTCCTTAGCTCTGGTGTATCATCTTTAAAAATTTGCGTCAGGAAAGCTGATATACCAAGTGACACAATTGTAAATTTAAATGTGGAGTGTGTGTGTATACCAATGAAAAGGCAGAGACATAGTATTAGCATATAATACCCATTTCTTGAACAGGAGAAAGGAATATGAATGTGTATGTGTGTATATGAAAATGACTCTAAATAGATGGATGGGGGGAAGAGGGAGGGATAGTGATCGTTTGTAAGAGTTTTCAGAAGGGAAGTAGTTCCAAGGACTGATCGAACTAAAGCAAGAACAAAATTCAGTGGGGGATCTCAGTAAATCCTGAGGCTCTGTAACTAGCACCTAGGATGCCTCTAATAGAATCGTCTCAATTCCAAAGGGCTTAGATAGGCCTTCTCTTTGAGTTGTGTTTCCTATAGTACAGAAAACCTTTTTCCTGGTTTTATATATGCAGTGGCCATCTCGTGGTTATGACTACTCTCTCCATCATCTTGAGGTCTCCATTGAAACTGGGGCTTCATTTTTACTGTGTCACATGTTCGTCCTTGGTGACTCTCTGTGTCCTCAGTCTTGCATCCTTCATGCCCCCAAGTAGCACCACGTAGACTACTCAGCTGTGACTTCTTCTTCCATCTTTGGATGGAACCTGACCCACTAGGACTACAGTAGTATCAGTTTCTGTGTGACAATCCCAGGGAAACAACCTCTTCCCCAGAGAACTCCTTGGCTGAAGTCTCAGTTAAGGTTTTTTTCTTTCACATGAATTTGCATCTTTACACTTGAAATATTTGATGGGTAGTGTCTTGCCTTCATGTAACTACTATTCCTACTGTTGAAGCCAGATCAACAAATCTTTTCCTCCCCAAATTGATTTTTTTGGGGATCAGTGTTCTTTTTTTTCCCCCAAGTTTCAGCGATTTATTCATCAGTATAATAAACTCCTAAAAAATTCATGATTTCATGCATTCTGAGATGTATTTCCTGCTTAAGTGGAAAATTGTGCAGATGGCTTCTGGAAGACCTTTATTATAAGCAGTTTTACAGTGAACTTCATAGTTTAGAAATCTGGGCCTTCTTCCTTCAGTTTGCTGTAGTCCACATTTACTGAGTAGAACTTATATTGGGACCCAGTTTGTTCCAAAGCTCTGGGTTATTCTTCCTGTTCCAGCTGACATTTGGATTGAACAGTGCCAAGTGCATCACATACAGTGCTGCTCCAGTACCCCCTGTTCCAATAAATACGAAGCAAAGAATAAAGCTGGGATGCTTCTTAGCTTGCCTGAGAATCTGTCGGAGCATGTTTGTGACACAGGTCTACCTACACAGAGAGAGAAGATTAGGACACACATTAAGCTGCTTCTGTAACTTGGCTCTGGGTCAGTGTTCTTTACAACAGCAATAGAAAACAAACTAGAACAGATAGGGATGTGTGCACAGTCCAAGGAGAGCCCCAGGTGTGTGGTGGTGGTTGTCTTCATGGTTGTTGTGGTGATCATCGTCGGTGTCATCATCGTCATCATCATCATCGTTGTCTTCGTCGTCACTCCCCTGCTCCTCCTCGTCCTCCTCTTTTCTTCCTCCTCCTCCTCCTCCTCCTCCTTTTTCCTGAGACAAGGTCTAACTATGTAGCTCTGGCTACCCTGGAACTCACTATGTAGAAAAGGCTGGCTTTGAACTCACAGAGATCTACCTACCTCTGCCTCCCAGATGCTGGGATTAAAGGAGTGTGTCACCATATTTTTGTTTTTATATTTGATTTTGATGGTGGTGGTGGTGGTGGTGTGTGTTAATGATACCTGATATTATTTTATAAGGAAATCATGGATGTTTTAAAAAATATGTACATTTTAGATTTTAGAAAACTAATGAGTGTCTTTGATTATGAAAGCCAAGAGCTTTACTCACGTTTTAAAAGGTTTATTTTTTAAAAAATTTTATTATATTTTTTTTCTGTGCATTGGTGTTTTACCTGCATGTATGTCTATGTGAGGATGTCAGATCCTGGAACTGGAGTTGTAAGCTGTAAGTTGTAAGCTGACATGTGGGTGTTGAGAATTGAGCCTGGGTCTATTTAATCATTGGTTTAAAGGACTAAAGATCATAGACACAAAGTATCGAGTACTTTGACAAATTTTGAAAGTAGATTAAAATATTTGTGATACAGCAAAAATAGAGGAACATTTCTTTGTAATATATTTTTTTTCTACTGTTCTGGCAGTAGTTTACCAGATAGTATGTGGGACTATCTGAGTGAAACGTATAAACTGAACATTTGGATAAAGTTCGATCATTGAAGTCTTGGCTCACTCAGTAAAAGGATAAAACAAAAATCCTTGTTCTTCATGGCAGTTTTTGGGAAATTGTTGCTAAGTGCAGACATTTAGTGCAGTAAGACATTTAAGAAAACCTTGTTATAAACTGAGTTAGGCATCAGTTTTTACTTAGGAATACTGAAAGCATCAGGTGGGAAGGGGGACAGCAAAACAGAAATCGTTGTAGGTTTCAGATATTGTCTGATGACATTCAGCTTTTGGACTGATGACACATTAGTGTAGGGTGGTAAGGTATTCTCCACAGAGACATGGACAGCCACTCAGGAATGGATCATCCACAGGATCAAGGTTAAGTCTGGAATTCCCTTCTTTCTGGGCTTCTCTGATTCCTTGGTGAATGGAGGAGTCTTGGTAGAGGACCGTGATGGCCTGAACGTAGGGAATCTCACCATTTTCCTTCTCTTTTACAGAAAAGATCTAGGGGAAATAATATTGTAGTTTGAGGCTGTTACGTTGTCATTAAGTCTCTGTGGGCCTTAGTTTGTGCTGGGTCTAGGCAGTGTTACAATGAAATATGACATCTTTTGTCTAGGTTAGACTTTTGTCTGTGATTACCAATGTACCTGAGACTTTAGGCAGATAAAGGAAATTTGGCACCACAGACAAGGAGTTTCCCATAGTAACCTGTAACAAGCAGGAGGAAATGGAGAACCATTGACAGTTTCTTCTGAAGTGGGTGATTTCCACTCAAAGAGGGATGGACGATCAGAACATATATTGTGGGATATCCCATGTAGCGTCTCTGCTTGGATGCTGAGCATCTTCAGGTGGCGCACCTGGAATCGATGCTGTACTTGTTTTTGTTATTTCCATATCTCTGTGAGTTCCTCTATAATCTATCCTTTGTGACTGCAGTGTTCCTCATGCAGACAGTGGCTTTTGTCTAAGTTCCTGTTGAAGCACATAATCCCACAACAGATGTCTTGTGAAAGACACTATCTCATGGATTGGGTCACTGCCTGAATGAGAGTTGGTGGAAAGGCTGTATCCATGGTTAGGAATGTAGGCTTATAATCATTGTAACTATAAGGTTGGGGCTGGAGAGAGCTGGCTCAGTGGTCTTAAGAGGTCATCTTGGAGAGGATCCAAGTTCTATTCCTAGCACCTACAACCATCTGTACCTCCAGTGCCAGGGGATCAGATGACCTCTCCTGACTTCTGGACACTGTTTTCATCTGTACATATTCACACAGAGACACATACATATCATGTGCATACAATTAAAAGTAAAGTAAAAATAAAAAAAAGTCCTGGTAGGCGAGGCTACCTGTCTAGTAAGTCAGTAAAATGCTTTTTCCCTCAGGGTTTTGGTAGGAAGTCAGAGAATGGAAATCCACTAATCAAGTGGTAGAATATGCTGGCTTATGATACAGAAAAGACAGGAAATCTGAGCCCTTACCTCTAGAGAATGTATTAGCCATGGTAGTCTTTACTGGCAGATGTCCTGATAGCTGTTAATTCTTAGAGCCTGCACACCAAGGAAGACAACAAGCTTTAAATTTTAAGCTTGTTCACACTCATTTTCTGTGTTAAATTATCTCATTTTCTTTAAATTCAGCTTCATTCAAGTTGTCAGGCTCTGGACAGAATGAAGCCAAATTTTGGTTAAAAATAAATCACACATAGCCCTTTCTCCTGGATTCTGATGGAGTCCTTGTTTCCTTTGAAACTTCATGAGCCAGGCCTTGACAATTTCTATTTCTTTTGGCATTCCCACGTTCTAAGTTCCTGTCAAAGTGGCCAGTTACTCTCTGCTTTTACTTGCAAGTATTCCTAACATCTTATCTTCTGAGTGGCTCTAGATCCTGTCAAGTTGGCAGTCAATTTTGACTTCCCATCGTGTGGGTTATTTCAGGAGCCTGTGACCTTTGAGGATGTGGCTGTGAACTTCACTCTAGGAGAGTGGGCTCTGTTGGATTCCAGTCAGAAGAAGCTCTACAGAGACGTGATGACAGAAACCTTTATGAACCTGATGTCCATAGGTAAAGAATATGCTATGAGTTCTTAATCAGTTAGAGACCGGCTGCTTCTTGTTCATGTGTGTGGCGTTGGAAGGGAGCTTGATGGTGACCGTGATATTCCTGGTCATATTGCACAATGACAAAATGTAGAAGTTAGTAAGGTTTTGTGTGATACTGACTTAAATCATAATGATTTCTTTGGGTTTGCTTTTTAGGGAAAACAGAAGATAAAGAAAATATTGAAGACAACTACCAAAATCTCAGGAAAAATGTGAGGTAATGCTCAAAGAGAGAGGAATTTATTCCAAATATTTACAAGTGACAGGAAATCTGAGAACCAAGCAAATGGTTTAGTACATCTCCATGCAATTGATTTAATCTCAAAATTTCTCTCCAAGTGCACTGAGCTGGAATATTCAGAATTAGAGGATGACAACTCTGTAGTGTATGAATATTGCCAAAATGTAGTGCAACATTAACCTGTGTAAGATCTGTTTTAGTGTTTCATTGTGCCTAAATTATTCTTTATACAGAAAATTATATAGTATATTTTATCAAGTTACCTTTCATCTTTGGATGTAAGGTCTGTGCAGTAAAATGAATTTCAGGTTTAGATTAAAACCTGTTACCAATAAATTACATAAAGGATTTATTTTAAAACCCATAATGTTTGATGCACACCATTTTTTAATGACTATTCAACTTCATTAACTGTGGTACACATAGTTATAAGCAGTAATATTTAACAATTTATGTTTGTCTGCTGTCTTCAGGACCTGGGTTGAATGTTCAGTTAGCTCATTCATATTTACAAATTCTCATAGAAGCAAAATCAATCGTGCTATTCTCCCTCTTCCAGGGTCTTTGTATGTGGCCCAGGTAGACTTAACACTTGCTATTGTCCTGCTGCCCCAGAATAATAACAGGGGCCCAGCTTTCCACACTTCTCTTGGTGACTATAAGAGTATAGTTATGCTTTTCCCCATTTTTGCAGAACTCAGGTGGTTGAGAGGAGTTGTGACTACAGAGATGGTAGTCAGTGTGGAGAAACCCAGCAACAGATTCCAGAACATATCATTCATAGAGACATACTTCCTGAAATAACAGTGTGTGAAAACAGTGTGCTTGCAAGAGAAGCCCTTGTTCATTCATCTTCACATGTGTACCTCAGATGTGAAACTGCAGAGAAACCCTATGGGTCACAGGAACCTGTGGAGAAGGCTTTTACACGGGAGAGGTGTTGGAAAGATTCTACGTATTCTGAGTCCTTTCAGACAAATCAAAGTCCTCCTCGAGAGACACCCTATCAAGATAAGCAATCTAATGAAGCCTATAGGAGTCTTAATTCTGACCAGTATTGTGAGCGAATTCACGCTGGAGATAAACTCCATGAATGGAAGCAAGTTGAGAAAGCCTTCTGGAGGTACAGTTACGGTCAAATATATGAAAGGATCACCATTGGAGAGAAACAGTTTGTGTGTAAGCAGTATGGTGAAGCCTTGGTTAATTCCAGTCACCTTATTAAACATGAAGTAATTCACCCTGAAGAGAAATGTTACATGTGTAAGCAGTGCGGGAAAGCATTTAGATATTCCTCATCCCTCCAGAACCATGAAAGAATTCATAGTGGAGAGAGGCCATATGTATGTAAGCAATGTGGAAAAGCCTTCATTCGTTCCTATGACCTTCTTATCCATGAGAGAATTCACAGTGGAGAAAAACCTTACACATGTGAGCATTGTGGAAAATCTTTCACCCATTATAGCGGCTGGTACAGTCATGAAAGGATTCACACTAGAGAGAAACCCTATGTATGCACACAGTGTGGGAAAGCATTTGCATGTTCTACATCGTTTCGGAGGCATGAAAGAATTCACACTGGAGAGAAACCTTATATATGTAAGCACTGTGGAAAAGCCTTCACCCATTCCAGTGCTCGTTACATTCACGAGAGAATTCACACTGGAGAGAAGCCCTATGTTTGTAAGCACTGTGGAAAAGCATTCCTCCGTGCCAGTCATCTCAACAACCATGAAAGAATTCACACTGGAGAGAAACCGTATGTTTGTAAACATTGTGGGAAAGCCTTCATCCAGCGTGATGCTTGTTATAATCACGAAAGAATTCACACTGGAGAGAAACCATATGTATGTAAGGAATGTGGGAAAGCATTTAGGATTTCCACATCCCTTCGTGACCACGAAAGAATTCACACTGGAGAAAAACCTTATATATGCAATTATTGTGGGAAAGCGTTCAGGGTTTCCACATGCCTTCACAAACATGAACGTGCTCACACTGAAAAGAAACCCAGTGGGTAGAACTTAAGACCGTGTATATCATGTGGAATTCTCTTTGATCAAGTTGCTGTTAGGAAGTGCATGCAGGGTCAGTCAGATGGCTCGGGTAGAAGCACTTGCCCCAAGTGTGACAGCTGTAGTTGGATTCTCAGAACCCTGTGCAGAGAGAACAGAGTCTCCAAGGCTTGCCTCTGACTTGCACACATGTGCCATCATTCGTATACATACCCTCACATACACATAAAAATAAATGAGATAATTTAAAATACCTTTTGTTAATTTTTTTGAGCCAGGGTTTCTCTGTGTAGTCCTGGCTGTCCTACAACTCATTTTGTAGACCAGGCTGGCCTCTAACTCAGAGATCTACCTACCTCTGCCTCCCAAGTGTTGGGATTAAAGGTGTGCACGACACCGATGCCTGGCTTTAAAATACATTTTGATGTTGTTTTCTGTTTTTGGTTATGTGTAGGAGTATGGGTATGTGCATGTGAGGGCTGGAGCATGCAGAGGCCAGAGACTTCAGGTTCCCCTGGAGCTGGAGTTAAAGGTGCCTGTGAGCTTTCCCATGTGACTGCTGGAAATTCAACTTGGGTCCTTTGGAGAGCAGTATCTACTGAGCCATCTTTCTAGTTGCATAAGTGTAATTTTTTTTAAAATCTGGAAAGAAATAGCTGGAATAGGAGACCTTAAAATGTAAGGTATTTGATGTTGGATAATAACCAGTTCCATCAAATGTTTAAGGCACTTTATTTTTGAAAATTACATTTAACATAAATTACAAATCACGAAGGTTACATTTATATAGATATATGTGCATGTTGTCCATATACCAGAGTATGCGTGTGGAATTGGACAGCTTTCAGAAGTCAGTTCTGTTCTTTCCACTCTGGAGGTCCTGAGAAGGAACTCAGGTTGCCTTCAAAACAAGTACCTTAACCTGCTGGGCAGCCTTGCTGTCTCTGCTCATGCCTTTTACTCATTAAAGAAGTAGAGTCAAGAAAATGACAAAACTGAATACAGTGGATTTGAACACACCTAGGAGAGTTATGAAGAACCCATTCCAACCAATGAAAACTTCAGCATTAAAAATAATATAAGTCATATGTTGTTTCAAATAAGGTAAAAGGGAATTCTCCTGTATGTTGTAAAAGCAAGAAAATTGAGCACTCCGAGCAAATGCTTTCTCTTGAAAGTCTGATTTTTGTGGAATTTGTGAAAATGTTGGCATGATTTTGCCTATCATTTCTGCTGTTTGGAAAACCGAGGTTATAAAATCCTGTCTCAAAGAATAACAGTAGCAACAGTATACACTACATGCGTTGAAGTGTTTTTTAGTTTGATAAATGAATTTGTACTGAAGTAAGTTCTCATGATGTAGATCAGGCTGGATTATATTAAAGGCGTGTGCTACCAAGTCATGGTGATTGATCTTATTTCAATGGGCATTTTCTAAAACCCAAGTGAGGTAGTACCTTTTTCCATTTCATGTAAAACTGTTTGATTGATGAAGCTTTGTGAATTGTAAGAGTCAGGTAGACTTAATTTATATGTAGTTGTTTGTCGGCTCCTTGCAGCCAGCAGGTCCAGGAGAGAGAAGAGAGAGGTCCATGTCCAGCCAGGTCTCTCTGGGGCTGAGCCCAAAGAAACACACCCAGCCGGGAGTCTTGTCGAGCAGGAATTCAATTTTAATGTAACAATCTCTTATTTATATAAACCTAGAGCGTAGGGAGGAGGGGATTTGGAAGGGTGCAATGACATAGGGGGTGGGGAAGGGTGACAGAGGGTATGGGGTGACTGACAGGGCCAATTGCAAAGCTCTACATCAGCAACAGCTGAGCAGAGGCAGGGCCAAACAGGTCCCATTGAGTCACTGCAGGATGGAAGTGACTAAGACAGATCTCAAAACTCGAGCCTGGCTCTAGTTTGTCTTTAAGGCCCAAACCAGTGCCAAAATGGGGCCCAACAGTTTTTGAATAATTGTGGGTCATTTGAAATTGAAAAATAGGCTGCTTGTTAATTGTTAGTGTTTGCAGTTGTACTTACATGGTGGGTTATATTTTTCTTGCTATTCTTAATTTATTGGCAGTTTCTTTAAATTTTATGTACACAGATTTTGTATTTTGCACCTTAAAATATATTTTCTTCAAGTAAGATGTTTTGGGGGCAAAATTGGCTTAGTGGGTAATGCCTGAGGAGCTGAGTCTGACTCCCAGAGTCCACATGACACTATTCATTTGCTTAGAGAAAGTCTCATTGATCTATACATGTATAGCTCAGAGTTTATACCACATTTGAACAGGGCAATCAGGAATCTGTAGAAAAGCCCAATAAACATAGGTTGTGTGGGAAATGGTTCTTTGCATTCTAATGCTTTTAGAGCCACGAGACAACTTTACGCTGGAGAGAAAGCCCATGAAAGTAAGACACAGGATGGAAACCAGTAAGGATTGGAGGTCATGAAATGTCTCACACTTAGAAAAACATCATGAACATAAACAATGTGGGAAAGCATTATATTCATGAAAGAAACAAAATGCTATAGGGAATCATTTCTATATAAGCCAGTAGGAAGGACTTGTCTCATTACAGCTCTCAGGAAAAATCAAAGGAGTCACACCAAACAAAACTGCCATCCCTAAACAGTTCAGGAAAGTCTGTTTCTTCTAGTTTACTTCACAAATTTGAAGCCTCTGGAGAGAAACTCTATAGATGTATTTAAAATATTCTCCTTTGATCCAGGTGGTGGCAGCACATAACTTTAATCCTAGTTCATGGGAGGCAAAGGCAAGAGGATCTCTGAATTAGAGGCCAGCCTGGTCTATACAGTGAGGTCTAGGACAGTCAGGGCTCCACAGAGAAACCCTGTCTTGAAAAACCAAAAATTCTCTTTTACTTACCTACACATACATGGAAGTGAGTTATTGGAAAATCTTATGTATGCAAACAGTATGTGACAGTTGATTGTGGTGTTGAACTACTTTAATCAAGCTCCTAGGCCAGCCTGGTCTACATAGTTCCAGATAAGGCAGGGCTCCCCTAGCTCAACCAAACCAAACCACCACTCCCCCACAAAAAAAAACCTATATGACAGTCTTTCCTCATTACATTTCCCTTAAAACTCATGAAAGAATTCATACTGGAGAAAAAGAATTGTGTAAACCTTCATATACATAACAGAGAGCTAGAAAGAAGCCTGTACATCAGCAGTGTGAAATGTCATTAGGTCATGTTCACAGTTAGTACAAGACTCACCAGATAAATCCTATAAACATAATGTCTAAAAGTATTACTTCCATTTACCATTACAGGTGTGAGTGGGATGACACTGGAGAGAAACTGCATACTGTATACATGTATATGGGAAACTGTCTCAAATCACTTTCATCCACAGGAGAGCCATTCTATCCAATCACCTTCAAATACACAGAAGCTCAGACTGGAGGAAAAAAAAAATGTAAGCCATGAGGGCAAGCCTTGAATAACTGTATTTCTAATTGCCAACATGAAAATACATTGGAGGATAAATTTAGATGCACAAAATGTACAGATCTCAACATACTGCAATATTTGTGAGCTCATGAACATTCATAGTAGATTTTTTTATAAGTGTAATGCATGTCAAATTGCCTGTGGTCAACTTGTTTCAATCCACAAATATGACGCACACATTTGCACACAGGCTCAAATTTATCAGTTGGAAGACCAAGAAAGTGGATTAGGTTTTAATTTTTTTATCTTCTTATGGTTATTTTGGTTATTTTCCCTGCGTATATAACTGGGCTTCACATCATGCAATGCCAAGGGAGGCCAGAAGAGAGTAATTGGGCTTACCCAGTTGTAAGCTACCATATATGGAGGCTAGGACTTAAATCTGGCACTTTTGGAAGAACAGCAGTGAGTAGTTTTTTTGGTTTTGATTTTGTTTAAAAGACAGGGTTTTTCTGCATAGCCCTGGGCTGTCCTTGAACTCACTCCATAGACCAGACTGTCCTACAACTCAGCAATCTTCCTGACTGCCTTTGGAATACTGAGATTAAAGGCATGTGCTACCACCTCTTGTGCTCTTAACTGCTGATCAATCTCCAGTTCTCCAAATTTTTGCTTTTATTAAAATATAATTACATCTCTACCCTTCCCATATTCACCCCCCACTTCCGCCCAAATTCTTTTGTATTTTTTCACTGTTGTTACAGGTACATATAAATGAATAAATCCATAAATATAATCTGCTGAGCCTCTTCAGTGTTTCCTGCATGTATATGTGTCTAGGGCTACCCATTTGCTATTCGATAAGCAGTTAGGGCATTTATCTCTGGGGAGACTAGTTCTCCCTTTTCCAGTAGTTGCTGATTGACTCTAGCTCTTCACCTAGTTATGGAAGTCCCTTCAGAGTTCCCTCAACTATATTAGAAAGTCAATTGTTGGAACTATTCGGATCTTTGTTTTTAGACACTGTTTCCTGGGTGTAGCCTTTATGTCATTTCTAGAAGGTTCCATCTCAAAGCTGACTTTCTGGTCCTCTGGCTCTTAAAGTCTTTCTTTCCCTCTTTCAGCAAAGTTCCCTAAGCCTTAGTTGCTGGAGTTGAGTGTGTAGTTGTACCAATAGGACTGGGTATCCCATGATCACTTTGAACAGTTCTTTCTCTAATAGATTCCTGGCGCTGCAAAAATAAGCTGCTTTGATGAGGGAACAGAACTACTTATCTGTTGGCCAAAGGATAAGATTTGGAGTGCCATTAGGAATCACACTGAGTTAGAAAAGTGGACATAGTAGGTTCTCCTCTAGGGACTTTGACCTCTAGCCATGAGTAGCTGGTTAGGTTTACAGTACTAGGCAGGATTTCTCTCTTGTTGATTGGGCCTTAAATCCAACTGGACAATTAACACCCAAGATAAAAGTGCTGCTATTTTATCATTGTAGATATGTTACCAGTTTAGTCATTGTTGGTATTCATAGCTTTACAGTTGGATGGGTCTACTGAATGTTGTTCTTCTTCCTTGGTAACTTGCATAGCATCTTCTGATGCTCAGAACCACAGGGAAGAGGCTCTAGGTCAGTTAAGCTATATTACTCCATGTCCTGTGTCCAGAGTGTATCATGTCTTCAGCAATAGGGGCTTACCTATTGTTGGGATGCAACAAAAGACAACAATAGCCTACATTGTTTTGGGGCTCTCTGGCATTTCCTAACCAACTTGAAAGGGTTTTGTTGCATGCATACACACACACACACACACACACACACACACACACACTAATTTTAGGTAAGTATAAAATAATGATGCCCTATACCCTTTCTGATCATTTTTAGTTATTTATTCCCCCCCCCACCTCTCCTCAGTTGCCCTCCTTTTCCCCTCTATTTTTCTCATTTCTCCATATCATTTGTGTCCTGCTACTTCCATGCTAGAGCCCCCTGCCAATCTCTTTTTACTTTCCTGTGTCTGTGGTTATTTGATATTCATGTTTCAATATTCAGTATTAGAACCACAAAGAGAACTTTTTGGGGGTTTGTCTTTTTGGGTCTGGGTTATTTCACTTATTACAGTTATGTTCTAGTTCCACCCATTTACCTGAAAATTTCATACTGTCACTTTTCTTTACATCTGACTAGATTTCCATTGTGTACGTGTGCCACAATTGCATTACTTGTTCATCAGTTGATCAAAATTTAGAGTGCCTCCATGTCCTAGGTATTGTGAATAGAACTGATGGCTGAGCAACAATCTGTGGAGTAGGATGGTGAGGGCTGTTGGCCGAAGGGTGGTCTAGCTGAGTCATATGGTAGATTAACCTTTAGCTCTTTGAGCATTCGCCACACTGATTTCCAGAGTGGCTGAGTCAATATGCAGTCCCACCAATTGGGGGTTCTCCTTTCCATGCACCCTCTCCAGAATTTGTTCTTTGTTTTGTTGATCTTAGCCATTCTGATTGAGAGAAAATGAAACCTAGTTTTTTGATTTGCATTTCCCTAAGGAAAAGGGGTAATGGATAACCCCTTTCTGTTCCTGGTTTCAATGGCATTGTTTCAAGTTTTTCTCCGCTTAGGATGATGTTGGCTGTAGGTTTAGTATATTTACTATGCTTTGCTTGCAGAATGTGGATAAATCAAATTGGGAATCGATCTGGAATCTTTCTTGTGAATAGCTTTCATAGCGCCTTCCAAATACTTACATTTGCACCCATCCATACATGCTGATTTCAGCCTTGGTCAGAGAAGCTACTGTTTGCCTTGGGCAATGACTATTTCAGAGACTCATAACTGGTGCAAGTGTTGAGAACAAATGACTTAAAGTAGTTCATCCCGAAGTGGAAATTTCTGGTTTCTTTGAAGACTCAGTTATGTCATGTGACATTTCTGAAAACTGTCGTATGAGAAGATGTTTTTGCTGAAGCAGACGCATGGGAGGATGT